AGAGAGAGAGAGAGAGAGAGAGTTTTCTCGAGTGACCTGAAGTCAGAAAACAATGGCACTGGGGCAAAGTCTGAGGTCAGCTATCAAGAATGTTTTGGTAGTGCACATTCCTTCATCCTGTTTTGGTCGACCTCACACATTGAAAAAACACTCACTCATACAATATGTGCTGAAAGGCTCCTAGATGTGTTGCATTGCGTGTAACCTCAGTGTACAATTTTACTGAGGGTATTAAGAGTGGTAATTAAGAGGGGTGATTTCAGGTTTTCAGATTTGTTTGAACAGGTCGAAAACACAAACCACATATACACTAGAAAGTGTAAGAAAAACTAGAAAAAAATTTTACTTGTTAAAAAATGTTTCTCATCCGCAAATATACCTTGGATTTTAACCTAAGCACAAGCGTGATGTTTCCAATTTCTCTTTTATTACTCTTTTAGTACAGTACAGCTATTAGCTGAACTTGACGGTCTCATGTACAATGGAACATCTAAAATGCCACAGTGATGCATAAAATGCCATAGTCTGTTGGCATTAAATGCATAATAGGCTCTAGACTCGAGGTCGGTGGTGTTCTCATCACGGGTGCCATCTGTCACTGGCACCAGAGTATCACAAAGGTACACCACGGCACAGCTAGCACCTTCACAGCTGTTAGTTGTGGCTGCTTTAGCATGTTTGCATCTGATAAAGCCAAATAAGATTGTGATCACTGGTCGAGGGTGAGACGGAAGGGAAACGCTGAAAGAGAAAGGGAAGAACCCCTGGGGAAAATGGCTAATGAAATCTTCTCCTCATTGGTGTTTTCACAAACACAATACACATGGGTATCAGTCTAGAGCAGGTGCTGCTGAGTTATGTGCATGAATGCTCATCTGTCATTCTCCCCTGTGTGTTTGGGTTTGGAGTAAGTTGTGAATGAACTTGATTTAACAACAGTGCTATCGTGATGTTCACACTATAAGGACATCTGTCAATAAATGATCTGTTATCTGTCTGATGCATTATATATATAAATATGCACATCTAGCTCTACGAACATAATACCACCAAATCATTAGACAAAACCCATGTCCATTCATTAAATGCACTTGCTATCTATTTATCTTTAAACTGTTACATTTATACGCTGTATATTAATTTCTTTTTGCAGCCAAAAAAAAAAAATACTGAAAGATTGGTTGGAATGATATATAGGCATACATTTTGCTTTTTTAAATGATTAGCTTCTATAAGTTGGTAATTTAGAGTAGTGAGTAATGTTAAATTATTATTTTAAAAATGAACTTTAAGCAAGCAATATATATTCTTCATACCCAACGTTTATGTTGATCAGCCAGTTGGTTCCAGTTATCATCTGAAGCTGATATTCTCAAAATGGCCAAATATTGGCCTGTCATAAATTTGGGGTAATTATTTAAATTCAGAATTGTTTGGTAGACCTCATTTGGCCTTAAATTAAATTCTGCATCCTAGATACCGGTGTCAGCCTTTGAAAAGCCAATGTCAGTTGACCACTAAAGCTTTCTTTTTTAGCTACTTTGGATGCATTTTCTTTATGGCTTATCACAGGAAACTGTCCATTACTCTAATGGTCACCATCCGAAAGCTGCCACTTCACTGTCTGAGCACCATATCATACAGCGTCATACATCATGTGTGCTGCGACAACAGGCAACAAGCACATTATATGAAGGAGAAACATCTCAACATCTCACATAGGGCTATAAGCATACAGATGGTTCTTGTAAATGAAATAAGCTCAAACAGTTGCTATGGGACCAATAGGAGGAGTGATTATTTATGTATGGGCACACCCGATTGATTTACTGACTCCAGTATATGGAGGCTAAAGACAAGGCATGAATGTTTATGTAATGGAGTCATTACAGTGATGGTGTGTTTGAGCATATACAGAGACCCTCTCTATGCTAGAAGAGAAATACAGGGATAGAGAGAGGGAGAAAAAGAAAAAGGACAGAAAGGAAAGTAAGAACAAAAAATGAAGTAAAGAGAGAGAGAAAATCTTGGATTTGAATGAACAGTCAGAGAATGAGAGGAGGCATTAAGCAACAGAGAGAAAGAAAGAAAGTGTCCCGCTGAGCGTCTGGAGCTTTCTCAGTTTCCAGACAGCCTAGCTGAGCTGAAGGCAGCACCCTGCCCCACAGCATGCTGGGAAAGGAGCACTACGGGTCTGTAAGGTGACGCCACGGTGACGGCTGTAATCCATACGCCCCACGTGTCACACCGCACGCTCTGACAAAAGCCCAGCAGGGGAACACAGGTGTCAATACATCTCATAATATCCTATGATAAATCACCCAGAATAAAGGCTGCTGTGTACGGGAGACATTATTTACCCAACGAAAGCGCCTGCTCAATGGCCGCAGGTTAACTCGGGTCGGGACTGGCTATACAATTCTCACTTTCAAGGACAAACAAAAGCTCCAGCTCATATAAACATGATGGATGGTTGATATATCATCCTGTCTACATCTGATCCCTCTCCCGGTTTAGTGAACTAGAGCTAAAACAAAAGGCATTAAGCAAGCCGTATGAGACACTACAGCAGCTGCGGTGCCTGTATGCGATACCTGCTAGAAGATATTCTAATCACTCATTCATCCAGCTCATGCACTGAATCGCTTTTATCAATATCAGTTCCTCCTTCTGTCCATCGCTTTGAACTTCTGCATTTTTATAAAGTAATTCTCAATGAAGAAAACAGACCCATGTTTATTTATTTATTCATTTTTTAAATAAGGCCTGCAGCATTGTCGCTGTTGGTGAGCTGTGCATTTCTTGGCCCTGTCCAAGGATGCCAAACCAGAGAGCAATTAAAGCGAGGCTTGCCATTACTGTAACTCAGGAGCAGGGCAAGAGAAAACCACTAATTATGATGTCGCCGTGTGCAGATGAATTCAATTAGAGGAGGGTGGAAAATACTGGCCTCAGACCAGCCCTTTCATGCTGCAGAAGACTGTTGAACGTGCACACACACACTATACTGTTACTCTTTTTACAATACTAAATGTTTTGCCAAAAAAGATCATTTCACTAAACGCCTTATAAGCCAGGCCCGACATAAACCGAATCACTTAAGTTAAGTACTGCATTTAGCCGTATATCATTATGTCCATCTGAAGACAATGCTAGCTATTGTTCCACAGTAGTTTTCACACTGCAAGACAAGATAAATTTTATGCTGGAATGGGTCTCAAGGGAGGTGATCTCAATAAAAATTCAAGTTCAACAAACATCCCCTGCTGTGTATAAATCCATCAATTACTTTTTAACATAAACTAAATAGTTGAAAATGGAATGAAATTGGACTGTCTGAAACTACTTTATACTGAGTATAAGCATTATGTACTACATCTTATGTATGTCATTTCTACATTTTTACAGCAGCCCCAAAAAGTATTTTGACACTTTGAACACTTTCTGGTTGTCAAATGAAGGTGGAGCATGTCCATAGCTAACGTGAGGCACCTGTGGTTACACTGCTAGGACACCTGTGTGTACTTGAGGGCAAGTGACCTCATACATTCACTAAAATCAGACTGAAACCAGTTGGTAAATCACAGAGAAAAAAAAAAGTTCTGAGAAAATCATTTGTTGGTTTGATATTTTGTATTTAGAGAGTATTTATATGGAAATACATTATAAAAGGTTTAGTCTTAGCTTGTTTCTGAGAATTTGGAATCTGTATCTATGAATTTATGGAAACCAACAGATTCCTCGTAAAAGTGACATTCACCCACACTTGCAAAAACCATAAACCTATAAACGTGACTGTGGTTACAGAGCAAGTGGAAAGACATGCTCAATAACAGTGACTAACAAAGAAAATCTTGCCAGGAATGTCTATGGCATTAAACACTTTCTATGCAGCATCTCAGAATATGCTATATGTGCCCAGAAGACACCGTTGATTAACAGATGCTGACACAAAACAAACTTTCAGACAGCAGGAGTTTCCTCCTCATTCTTTCTCAACAGCCCTGTATCTTCACAGAGCCACGGCAGTACCTAAAATTCATGACCAGATTATTTGATGGGCTACCTGTCTGACAGCCCTGACCCCTGTTGGGAATACAGAACAGTTGGATGGGGATTTGAGAGAGAACAGGGGAAGGGACAGGGAGGATAAAAGAGAAAGGTAATGGGGATGAGTCATGTCTCACCTGTTGCTGGTGAAGAAAGGCTGGGTCTCTGGAGCTCAGTCCCACAAAACGGTTGGCAGTGGGAGTGCCTGGAGCCGAATAACCTAAATATACCACACATGTTCAATCAGTATTAAACATATTAATACAGCTTGTGTTGACAAGTTGACAGTGTTCAAAAGTTTGGGGTCTGTATTTTATTTTTTACAATTGAATTACAATTTCCATAAAAATATTATGCAGAACACTGTTTTCAAATGTGATAAGAAATGTTTCTCATAACACAGCGAGATTAACTCACCTTCTGAGGATGTGGTGATTGGCTTGGTGTCAGCCATCGAGAGAGACACTGGTCTGACAGTGCCATGGTGGGGCGAGGGGGCCAGCACCGGCGTGAAGTGACCGGGCACTTTCCCCAGTACCTGGCCACTGCTGTTCGGCTGTGGCATTCAAAGAAAAAGCAGTCCGTTAACACACCAGGCCAAATGGTGACATGTTTTTAAATTAAGCTAATGATCATGTTAACGCATTAATGCAATCTTTTGATGTTCTCCCATCTTCCGGCATAGGCGCTAGACAGCTGAATGTGCATTTTTCATGACTCATTCCAAGTTTATACAAAAAACAGAAATAGAGGGGGTTGAGGGAACACAGGATGGAGAGGCAGACACAGAGTGAGCGTCTACCTCCTTCCACTCCTGACTGCAGGAGACAGACTCGACTGAATTCACATAGCGGGGCCCTAAGTTCAAAACTCAAACAGGCCTTTATGAAAGAGAATGGTGTCCATGGGGTTCCCCAATGTGAATAGAATGTTTAATTAGGGTGTAATATAATCTGCGTTAAAGCAAGCATAAAAACATCCTGGCTCCCATCCACCCGATTATATGCCCCGTGTTATTTGCAGAGCGATCTCCCCCCACCCAAGCTCCAGACCCCAGCAACGGCAAATATTTACGACCTTTATCGTTCCCTGCGGTTTCTCCCGAGTAACAGTTCCAGCGCGCTATGACTCGTCCAGTCTATGAGCCCTTTGTTTACGGTTCGAGCGGTGGGGATATAAAACTCAGTAGTATCACGGCCTTGCTTCAGTCACACAGTGAAAGAAGAAATCCTTCAGACAATCAGTGCCGTGTTTCCCGACAAGTCAAATTACAGCAGATATTTCTTACACTACTTTGATTATAATTCCTAATAAATACATTTGTTTAAAACAGAATTGTCTCCTGCTAAAGAGGAGGAGTTAGCCACCATGACCACAGCAGAGTCAAAAAAACTGAGCATGTTTGAAGTCCTTCAATTAACAGGAATGAGGTAAAAACTTGCGTTTTACTTTTTTTTTTTTTTGCTTCATACTTCATACTTCATTATGAAGACATAATGGCCTATATAATGGTATTAAATGATATAATAGCACAATAAATATAATAACTATTCCCACTTGTTTTTTATTCATTCATACTTTAGGGAATCTCAACTCCAGTAAAACATTCAGTAACAGTAGTTTTCATAGAGTTGGAGAGACACTGAACGCATATGTGTTTGTGCTAATGCGCAGTGGCTGCCCTGGTTGGAGTGTTTATTGACTTGCTTTTGTTGTTGTGTTTTTTCCCCTCTTTCTTTTCGTTCCCCTTCGCTTCATTTACGCCGCTGCTGGTAAACAGAGTCACCACAGCGATGGAGAGCCGTCGTTTGGCTCTACACTCGGATTTAGACAAGGCGCCGACAGAGAAAACCACTAATGATTTTGTGTTCGTTAGCTAAACTGGGTCAATTGCCGTACTGAAACAATGTGGCCTGTTAATCAAACTTGAGCCTGATGCAGTGGGAACAACCAAAGACACCAAGACAGACAAGCAGCCAGAGGTAGAGGCAGAAAAAGAAGGAAATGGTGCTAAAGCACCTTTGTGTTTACAGCATATGCTCTTACAATGAGGGTCTCATTAGTTTTAGGGGGTAGAGCGGCTTTAGCTTGCAGTATGGTTAACACATGTGACAACACGATGATCATGATTGGAGAACGTACGGCACATGTGATACAAGTATGCTATACATGTGAGTCTGCTCGTCTGAGGAAAAGGAGCATTTCAACTGAGACGTTAAACCAAAACCCTATTTTAACAGCTGGGATCTATTATGTTTTGTGGACAATGCACACACAGTCACAAGATTTAAAGGCTCTGTTCCAGTACAGATAAACTGTACTAATTATGTGTGATTGCGTTAGGGTCGGGGTTAATGCACATGTATGTTAGTCTTTGTGCATGTACGTGAGTATTCAATACTTACCTGGCTGCTCTGTGGGCTGGACGGGTCGTAAGGCTGCATGTAGTTCTTGAGGGAGTCGGGTGGGTTGAGGTGCGGCGGGTAGCGGATGGCGCCATGAGAGATGTAGGGCGAGGGGGCCGAGAACTGCAGCGGAGGTGGACTCCTGGTGGAAATTACTGCACACGCAGTGAGAACAACTACTTTACTAACAGATTTTAATTAGACAACATGTAAACTCAATGGGGGAAAAAATCAAATTGGAAGAAATTTGGCAGACAAATAGGGAGACACTCTTCCCGCACCCAAAAAAGTGGGAGTTTGACAAAGTGGAAGTATTTTGGATTCCATAAAAAAGAGGGGTTGTTAGACACCCTAGTCTGCAGAAAGTGCCGATCAACAGTTCAAACTTCTTTTTGTATGCTTTTGTACAGTTGGTGACAAACTGTCTTTCCACCACTTATTTTGAGGGCATTTTTTTGCCCTAGCGCCAGTATGATAATGATAAAAGCATCAATTACTGTACACACCTAATGCACATTCTTGTGTTGATCTAGTCCTAAAATGCTTTCTGTTTTTGTCAGGAAGTAAAAAAGAAAGAAAGAATTTGAAACTGAAAAGAAAATTCTGTCATTATTTACTCACCCTTGTGTTGTTTTAAACATGTATGAATTTCTTACTTCTGTTCAACACAAAAGAAAACATTTTTTGAAGAATGTTGGTAACCCAGCAGTTACTGATATCCATTACATTCTATAATGGCTACCAGCAACTGTTTGTTTACCAGCATTCTTCAAAATATCTTCTTTTGCATTCAACAGAAATTCATACAGGTTAGGAACAACTTGAAGGTGAGTAAATTACGAATGTTCAGTTTTGGGTGAACTATCCCTTTAACTCCAAGATTACATTAAAATGAATTTCCAAACTCATACAGAAAATAGGAAATTCTGAGGAGTATTGTAAGGCAGAATAAGCATTCAGAATGTTGAGCAGAATTTTTTTGGATCAGGGAAAGATTGTGAGAAGTATTTTTAGAAAAGTCATACCGCTATGGCCAACGGTGGTCAGTCCTGGGTGGTGGTGTTGGGGGAAGGTGCTGAGTCGAGGTGAAGAGTCTTGTGGAGATGTGGGGCTGAATAATGGCTTCTCTGGCTTCTTCATGGTGGGAGAGGACATGTCTGCTGAAAATAAAAAAGACAGGGCAGGTCAGATATAAGCTTCTTGCACAAAGCATTAACAGTGTAGGAAATGAAATCTATGGGATGAGCAGAAGTACACATTTTTCAAATTGACTTAAAAAAGAAAAGAAAAAAGTTGACTAAATCCTCATAAAAAATGACTGAACTGAGCATCCAAGTAAACAGAGTCAACATCATACCGACACGATTTATTTTGACATTTTCATGTCTCATAATGCCGTTTCTCATTTGCGTTCCCTCTCTGTAGTCCTACGCAGTGTAAAATCTATCTAGTTTTATTGTGTAAGAAAAACATTAACTACATATCTACTTCCAACAAGAGTCAAAAAAGTCTCTTCATCAGCAGACATGGAGGAGACATAGTGCTTGGCCTGTGTGTCTCTGGCGCTCCTCCCTGACAATCATAGATGATATGAGAAAACAGAAAAGAAGGGGAGGCACACGCAGTCAAATCAGAATAATGAAATAACAAAAACTGAGGGAGGGAGAAGAAAATAGAACCGTGAGCTAACGACATTTCAGCAAGCACTATTCATGATGTCTTAAGATTGTGTGTTTGGACATGCTCAGATGCTATATATTGAACTTTATAAATGCTCCATCTCTCTCACTCTCTCTCAGTCTCGTTGTTGTGATAGCAGGAAAAAGGTAAATGATCTCACAAAAAAACACAAAGGCATTGGAATGTAGGGGGATTCCATGTGCCTGTGTGTCCTTTCATGGTCCAAAATTTACTTTTTACCACTACTGCCTCTAACAAGACAATTTAGAAAATTCAGCTGGCAGAAATTGTCCAACCAAACAAATATAATTTTGTAGTATTTTTTTATTTAATTCTATTTTTAAACTATTTAAATAATTTTATTTTAAAATGTATATTTAAAAAAAAACATTTAAATAGTCATAAATGCCCTGCTCCATATAGAAAATGATGATCACATAAAACAATAAAAACAATGTTTCCTAAACATGATCTACAACTAAATAGCAATTAGGGCATTTTAACAAAGAGCCTGGATACACTGTTGGCCGTATACGGTTATGAAACCGTATGGATTTTTTTTTCCTCAACAAAATTTTGACTGCATTTTCTTGTCTCGACATGTTCAAATTCAACAAAGTTTTTGAATAATATTTTTGTCACACCTGTAACAACAGAACATTGAAAAAATGTAAAAGAATAAGCTGTTAGAAGGCAAAATGGTGCTCCCTCAGGAGTGTATTTATGTGCGTTTGAGAAGAGAGGGAGGGAAGGAAAGAAGAAGAGAAGGAAGCTGGGAGGGATATAGAGAGAAAGAAGGTGGCATGAGAAAAATTTGCTCTCCCAAAAACCTTCACAAAAAGCCTACACAAACGTGCGTGTGGAGAAAAGGGACTTATATATCTGTTTTTTTCAGGCCACATAATCAATTCCTAGGGCTGTTCCATAACAGAGAAAAAGAGGAGAGAGTGAGAGCTTGGCAACTGAATCAAGGTGGTGGTCCAATGACATTTTCTTTTCAGGTTGATTTGATTTGATATGAAATCAGAAATCTGTGCTTTTCTGAAGACTAGGTTTTGGCTGGGGCAGTTTCCTTCTGTCAAGGCCTCATATGGCTTTAATATTCATGCTTCGCTCCTTCTGATATGGGTTTTACAAAACAAACCACTTTCTCATGTGCTCTACCCTATCCCAGTCTTCACTCCTCCCATCTCTCACAACAGCTCATCAGAAAAACAATGGCATCAGAAAAAATCCAGAAAATAAAACAAAGATGAAAAATAATACATAATTGAAATTACTTGAATAAATGAATCAATATTTGTTCAGAAACACCCCCAAATTAAAAGTCACTGTTTTGGCAGATGAGTGAATCATTACAGCAATTGATTCAACTGAGTTTGTCAGTGTTTTCAACATAGACTTGGAGGCTGTAATTTTGTATCACCTTATTTTCTTCATAATTAATCAAACTAAATGAACCTGTTAAATTGACAGCCCTAACGTAAGCAACAAAAACTAGTGCACACAAGGAGGATAAGAAATAACATTTATTTAAGAAATAAAAAATAAATAAATAAAAGTGTCCTGTTTTCAGGGAAAAGAGTATGGAGCTTGAATTAACTACAGGTAAAGAAAAGATTGTTGAAATAGTTGAGTGCTTTCTGTCTCTAGCACACACACGCCCTTACCCTACCCCTAACCCTAAACCTACCCCTTACGGAAAACTACTGGCAATTTTTGAAAAAAACAAAACAAATAAAAAACCACCATTTTATGTTTTTTAAGCCATTTGGTTTACAGGGACACTGGAAGTGTCCTCATAAATAATGTGTATGTTGTAGTACCCATGTCATAATACACATACAGTATTATGTTCTCATTAACCATATATACCAGAAAACACACACACACACTATACAAATACCATCTCTCTTGACCAAATGTTTCCCAGGGAAAGTTTTTAATATATTAAAACCTTCTTATAGCAATCCTTTGGCTAAATTCTAAACTGTCTACTATAAAAAAAATAGGCGACAGGCATGAGCGTGTGAGTAATGAGGGTAACTAATGGTGCAGACTCAGCATTAGAATAGGAGTTCTCTCAAACCACCCCCACAACCCCCTCGCCCCCTAAACCAGTTCCCATCTGGATCCGGTGTCTAAACTCAAAGGTCACAACCCTGCTCTGACCTTTGACACACCCATTTTAGAGATCAGGTCAAGTTCAATAGTTGACACACGCCAGACAAATCCCCCTTATGAGAGGGAAACATGGCTAATCAATTACCAACACATGCAGACAGGAAACCAGGCTTGTCTGATCTAAATCTAAAGGATTTGTTCTTACATATACATAAAAGTTTTTCATTAATTTTTTTTCCCCCCAAAAAATGAAGAAAATGTCATATCACTACATTGTTTACACTAGGCTTAAACTGAGCCTAAAAAAAACCATTCCTGTTTTTTTAGCCATTAAACTACACAAGAATGAAACCATACCCAATTCTGACACACACATGCCCACACAAAACAAAGACTGGACAGATCCACCCAGCCAAAATGTGACACTTCTCCTTAATAAATGAAGGTTTCACTCAAAACATAGAACAGGACAAAGAATATAGAATAGTCTCTTTTTTTTCTAGCTATGTTTAACAGCAGCACACTGAAGAGTAGCACACAGGAAGGAAAATCCTTGTCTTAAATCCAAAATTTCTGGACACATTAGGCTGGATTTAATGTTAAAAGTTGTTAAAGTTGATACTCCAGTGTGCAGTCACATACATTGTAAGTGACATTTCAAAGCAATTACATTTTCAATGGTCATAATTTTAGGAAATCATTATTTGTTGCTTAAATGTTTTATAAGCATTCAGAAGAACAGCAGAGGTTATGTTGACTGATGTTTTGTTAAGTTTTGACTGAAGTGTTCACAAAGCACTGCAAGAATAAAGACCAGCTTATCAACATTACACTTTACCGAGATCTGAAGAGAGGGGAAAATCACACAGAAAACATCTTCACACAGAGGGGAGAGAGAGAGAGAGAGAAGGGGAGGGTTAAGAGAGAAACAGTGCTGAATAGCTCTAAGGAGTAACTCTTGACTAAAAATGGTCTCTCTCTCACCTTGGTCTCTCTCATGCCAGGGTCTGCTGGCCGGTGAACTAGGGGACGGGTAGAAGTCTGGCCCGGTGGGACTAGTCTCCATACTGTCCTCTTGGATCGTCTTAGGCCGCTTACTGCGGAGGACAGAATAACTTTTTTTTATGTGCATCAAATTTTTTTAAAGAAATAATTATTTCTATAAAATAGTTCAATTTACAAAAATAGCTTCTGTTATGTTTGTTTAGCTGATCTTGGCAAAGTCTGGTTACAAAATCTTTCTTTACTGAAAATGGATCAAAATGACACCAAGACGAGGGGTTTAACTGTGTATGTGTTGTTTGAACATGCATGCTAACCTGCCATGAGGGGACGAGAGGGACCGGTGTAAACTCACTCCTGAGTTCAGGTCTTGATAATATGGCTGACTTGGCATGTCAGCCATAGGGAAGTTCACTCCTGCACCCTGTGTGATAGGAGCTGGTGAGAAAAGAGAGAGAGAAAAAACAGTGGTTTGGGATAGGTCGAAATGTGGAGTATCTTACATCATACATTTGGCATGAAGAGTCAATCAGCTAAATCACTTTTGAAACGCTCTTTGTTGCTCTCGGTTAGATGCTGTTTTCAGGGTAACATTTGCATGAAGGCAAACCCAAACATGATTGTAGCTGTAACTCAATCTAAGAGAGAACAGCCTGTAACAGAATGAAAGGAGCTGTAACAGTATGAAGTGTGTCAGAGATATCATATCTACAGAGAAACCACAAGAGCCAGAGCACCATTCAGTGGTCTAACCACTGCCATTAGCCTCTTTGTTTACAAACAATAGCATGACACAGCTAGTTTAATCTTTTATGAAAAGAGAGCTCAATACTATATTATGAAAGGTACATATACCAAATTGTGTACATACCTTTCATAATATGCATAAGTGATTTATTAGATGGCTAGTGTACACTGTAGAATTGACACATATTTCATTGGCAGTATTTGTTTATTTATTACGGCAGTGGTTTTTGTGTTCAAGGGAGCACACGTGCTGATAACACCATGTTACCATAGGTTTCTCTGAAAACAAATGTTTGCCAACTACAAAAAAAGTATTTTAAAATGTAAATATTAAGTAAACATATATTAAATGTACTATATACTGTATAACCGTCCCTGAAAATAAAACAGAATAAAAATAATCACAATTACTTAATAAGATATCAATTATGATATCTTATCCATGCAAAACCAAAAACATTCTTACTGAATTAATATCCAAGGTTTGTGTAACTGTTGGTGCAATTGTGTTAGTTTCATGATACATTTTTGTTTGTTTTCTCCTTTGCAGTAGATTGGGTAGGTAGCATCAAGTTTTAGCAGAAGGTGTGTTCTCATGTATGACATGATATGGCCTGAGGGTCTGAGGTGAAAGAAACACATGTGAAATTACTGTCAGTCACTGCTGGCAATGAGCCCAGGACCTGCTGCCGCCACATGAATGGAGTGAGCAGGTATGACATTTGTACTTAAAATGAGCAATCACAACAATATGAAGAGTGTTCACTATAACCTTATCTGAACTGCATTACAGGAGGATACAATGGTCACTACATTATCTATTTAAGACCTTAAGTTTGCAGTAAACTGGCCATTTTTTCAAGGAAATGATAGACCAACAATTTTTTTGATGGTACATGCAGTATTCTCTAAGTCATATGGCTATAGTGCTGTTAATGCATGAATGTCTTTCAAAACAGCAGAGAATCATAGAAGCCATGTTGATGGTAGTGTGTGTGTGTGTGTATATGTGGGACAGATCGTGAGCGTTGTGTTACATTTAGGTGTGACATGGATCAGTTACAGCGTCACTGAGTGCATTCACCCTTAGAGTGAATACGAGTGTCTTTGTGTTTGTGTGTGTGTGTGCCCTGATAACCCCTTTGGCAATTTGTACAAATCTTGCTTAAGGGCAAAACTGTCCTCAGCCATCAGAGAAAGATTCCTTCTGGAACATCTGTCATCGTCTTTGATGAAGGCAGGCATGTCGACACATAAACCACTGCGTGTTTGTGCACCAGTTTGTGCACTAGTGAACACACACACACACACGACTCACCAGACTGGATTTTCCACACATGTTCTGGGCAAGTCCCTCCCTTGCTAAATCAGGAATGCTTAGGCATAAAGCACACTGGTTGTCTTGCTCTGTATGTTTACTTTAGCTATACTTGTGGGATGAAACTGTCAAAACTATCTGTAAATTTTACAGAAAATTCCTTTGAAGACATCATCCCTAAATTCATTTGCAGATTATACAAAAATTCATACAAATATGATCATAAAATGGATATCAATTTTATGTGTTTATGCTTTTTTTTTATACTTGTGAGAGTCACATTTTTGATAGTGTCCCAACACATATAGTCAAAAATATCAGCTTGTCAGCATATATGAAATGGTCCACACTATTTGAATGTCATGTTTTACATTAAATCTACTGACTTCAACAGATTTATCTCAGGCTTTACAGTATCTTTACTTCTGTAAAACATTTCTATAAAAAACAGTGTGTATAAACTCTAAAAAATGCACTGGGTGAAATATGGACAAACCCAGCAACTGAGTTGTTTTAAACGTTTAACCCAACCTTCTGGGTAGTTTTATTTAACTCAACTATTAAAAATTATTATATTTTTTGTTTAAAATGAACTCAAATAGGTTTGAAATTAACATTTATTAATATGTTCAATACATAATAATTAAATAATAAACATTTTAAACTGCTTATTACTAAATGTTCACCTTTTGATTGGGTTCAATTTAAGCCAGCCATATAGTAATTTTTAAACAATAGTTGAGTTAAATAAAACTATCCAGAAGTTTGGGTTAAACATTTAACCCAACCACTGGGTTTGTCCATATTTCACTCAGCACTGGGGTATGAAATGCCCTTACTAACATACAGTAGTAAAATCTGTATGTATGCGTGTGTGTGTGTGTGTGTGTGTGTGTGTGTAGAGAGAGAGAGAGGGAGACTTACTTCTGGATACTCTAATCAGCTCCGAAACACTAAAGACCCCTGATTTAACAAAGCTGTCTTCCAAGTAAACTGTGGGAGACAAGAGAATTTTCTTCAGACACATGTCCTTACTTAACACATACACATGAGGACATTTCAAATTCTGTGTATTTGGTAAGCAGGCATCTGAGTGAAAATATTTTAGTTTTCACAGATTAGATTAAACAAATAATCTTTTGTCCATATCACCATTTAATCTTTTCTTTCAGGAACATGACAACACTAACTGTGACTTGTAATATGTACAGACTAGATGGATTAGGTTCAGAGAAAGCCAACTAATACTTAACACTGCATTCCAGACTCATGTTTAAAAAAGACCAGCCCCACAGGGTCAGCCTCACAGAGCATGCCAGGATGTCCAAGTCTTTCCCACAATGCACCGCAAAGCCTAATAGGAAGTGCAGTGACGGCCAGGGTTTCCATAGTAGCAGTACTGCTTGGGTCTGAGTTGTGGCCCGAGAGCTTTATTTTACTTGGCAGGGGCAAACGCACAACCTACTCTTGAGGTAAAGAACTAATTACACTCTCCATTATTTTCATTCTTTACACATTACATAGCAGTAATCGCCAAAAAAAAAAAAAGGAAAGGAAAACACAGGTGAGTCCAAGGGAACCAACACAGGTTTAGCTGGCATGACAAATAGACACTGTTACGGGAACCGCTACTCGCTCCACATGCCATCAGCAAAACCTGCTCAAACTAAGATCTGACAGGACTGGTGATGTCATGGCATGGCTTGTTTTATATAAATAGCAATTTTTGTTTTTCTTGTAAAAATCACAGACATTACATGGTGGCTTTGCAGTTGACTTTAATTTGTGCTAGTATAATTATGGTCAAATCCAACATATTCTGATCAAATAAGCCTGTTTCTCTGAAAGAGTTGAATTTGAGGGTATTTATTTAATTTTTTTAATTATTTTTTTTGGCACTGTGCAAAGTTCAAAGTTTAGCTGTAATGCAGCTGCTAAATATTCATTCAATTAAAACATATTTGAAGAGTTTATTTGAGACCTCATTTGAAGGATTTGTTAATGGCAAATTTTGCAATATATGTTTTCTCAATACCCAACAATAATATCACATTGTGGGGTGTCTGGGGATTCCCACCCCTAGAAATAAAAAAATAAAAGAATCACAATTGTAAAAATAGATTTTCTATGACTGTGGTAACCAAAATTAAATAATAAATAATGAGACTGAAACAACCACCTAACACGGATGTCATGCAGGAAGGTTTGCAGATTTATCTGTATGAGGCCTTAATTGTTTTATGGTGTGTCATTATTAAGGGTACACCAGCACCTGGCAGTAGTTTACTGCAGAAGTTAGTGCATTTCTATATTGTGTTGACATACCTGGAGGGTTCTTGCCAGGCTCATTGTTGCTAGGACTTCCTGACTGTTGCAAGTCTGAAAACACAAATAAATGTAGTGGATTAAAACACAAAACCCAGAATGATCAGTAGATCTACAGATGACAGTACTGCACTTGACTGTAATTTCTCATCCACTTGCAGTGTTTCCTCATGTTTGTTTAGCTCTTATGGTTTTTAGACATTAACAAATCAGAAAAAAAATCTATATCAGAGCAATAGAAATACATAATGTATAAAGAATAAATACGATCCAAAAGACCACACTTAAAACTGGGATATTTTTCATTTAAACCTAGAAATAAACTGAAATTTTACAACATGGATTTTAAAATTTATAAGAAATATTTCAGATTCTGAACTAGATCACTAACAAAATAAACACATTTGTGACACCGATCATGTGAATTTGTACAAATAGTCATGCTGGAGAATCATCAGGTTTTACAAAAGTTTGTGGAGTTTGGTATAGCAGATAGCCGTTATGGTCGTTGCTGCCCCTTCGTTGCTTCCTGAAAAGGAAACTACATTTACTGGGTCCTGACAGGACAGGCCAGATGTGTGCAGAAACATGCTTGTTTCTTTCAGTGAGGGGGAAAAAGAGACGAAAGAGGGAGGGAGAAGAGCAGAATGTAAGAACAGGCAATGGCAAAGCTGAAACTTTCCTCACAAAAGTAAAATGGAGACACACATGTACAACACTCGCCCCACCTTGTAGGGTGTGAGCAAAAGAAGAGAGTGGGGGAGGATAAGATGGAGAAGAATCCTGTCTGTTGCTGATGTGTGCTTTAATGTTCACATGATTAACAATGTTACCTTACAGAACCTTTAGGAGGGTCCTCCCTTGATTCTATACTGCTAATGACACACCTCCAATGGAGCACATTCACCCAGTCTTTTCAGGAACTAATAATTAGCTTTTTTCAAGATCACAACAAGCACAATATTAGGGATGCTTTGAAAAAAAAAATCTGACTGGTAGCAATAAAGCAAGAAGTATTTTCATGTTGTGGCTGATATTACAATCTAAATTAAATTTAGGTAAATGTTAGATGACAGCATAAGTAATCTAAATGTCAAAATAGGAGAAATGAGCTTGTACAATTAATTATGAATTATTCAATATAAGTCAATATATATATCCAGTATGGACTGATTCTATAATCATTAAAAAAGTAATATCAGTCAATATCTGATATGTTACCAATACAATGCAATGTGTAAACAACCCATCACAGAGGGTGTCTTGTAATCTAAAGGAGACTAAAACTTTAATTAAACGATCAACTCGACTTAAGATGCCAATATATTGGCTTGGCCAGTAAATACAAAATGCAAAAGAGAAAATGAGTTCCTTGAGCTCCTTTTCAGAAGTGAAAGTTAAAGGGGAGAGGTGAAGAAATAGAGAGAGAAATAAATCCCACCTCCTCAAAAATGACCATTAAACAGAGCTGCAAATACGGAATGTTCTTGGCTTCAGCTCAACAATGACAAAGAAAGGAAGGGAACAACATACATTAATAAGAAAAAAAGCCCAGAGAAACTTTTTTCTAGTGCATTCGTGAGAATTTTTAAGAGCTATTTCTGCATTAAGCGTTGACATTTTTTTTCTTTGTTTGGTTAAGAGCAGGTTGATCTTTGATTGGTCAGAAGCGTTATTGTGACACTATTGTGACAGTGCCCGTTCCTATGCCAACCCCCCCCAATTCACATACAAGTTCTACACCATCCATCAGTGTTGTGCTTAAAGACATCTCCTACCATGCCAATGCCCCAAGAGAGAGGAAAAAAAAAACGGAGGAAGGTGAAGGAATAGTTGGAAGGTGAAGGAATAGAACACACACATGCGGTTGTGTTTTACACATGGGTGCAGTTTCTACGGTTGTGGTTTGTAGCATGGTATGCGGTTGCTATTCCTAGGGTTGCTTGGTCATTGCTCCCTGGCCCATAAGAGTCAAAAGAGCCCACTCCCAAGTCCCATGATATTGTTCTCTAAAAACTTGATGGTATTTTTTCACCTGTATTATCATCCTCCAGGTGACGATTAAAAGCCTGATGGGTTAGAAAAGCAGCAGCTGAGTTCTCCTTAAAGGCTGTGACACACTGTGGACTGGTGTCAATGAAAGCCTACAGCCATACGTTCTGTGTGAGAGGAAATAACTCTCCATACCATCAGGTTGCAGTAGTCTATATTTGTCATTCAAAATGGAAAACTGGAACTAGAACTTTGGATATGCAGTCTTACGCTTGTTTATCATTTTGAATATGAGATAACATAGTTTAGGGACCAGTTCTCACTTTTAACTAATTGATTATTAGCATGAACGTTACTAGCATATTGTCTGTTTAATAGTACTTATAAAGCACATATTAATGCTTTATTCTGCATGACCTTATTTTAGATCCCTTAATCCTACCGCACAATTAAACTTAACAACTACCTCACTAACTATTAATAAGCAGCAAATTAGGAGTTTATTGAGGCAAAAAATCGTAGTTAATAGCTAATCATGTGAATTGGTCCCCAAACTAAAGTGTGACCGAATATGAATCTTGTTCATCAGTTGGTCTTCACTTTCTTCAGTCTGTGCCGATTCAACATCACAGACCCTCAATGATAGCAACCATCAGCTTGGTGTCACCATGCTAAAAAGCAATTTGAGCTCTCAATTCTGTCATTCTTACTCACCCTCATGACGTTTCAAACCTGTATAATTTTCTATCCTTTGTGGAACATAAAAGTCTCTTTTCTTTATCCAAACAATGTAAGTCAATGGGTACCAAAATAGTTTGGTTTATAATTTTCTTCAAAAATATATTTTGTGTTCAGCAAAGTCTACGCAAGGGAGGGTAAATGATAACAGAATTTCCCTTCTTGGGTGAACTATTTAAAGTTATGGGTTTGTTGAATAGTGTAAGCAAAAGTAATAATGACGCTTGCCTTGGCAACTCAAAATCTAAGATGAAGACATCTGATCTAGGATCATATCTACATGAATAGAAGCATGATGAGCTCATTGCAGATCGCGTGAGCTTCATAAATACGATGCGTCAATGTATCTTTGTGCCACCTTATCTGTTGGATCGCATCCATACAGCTGTCACAATTATACCTTCTGCACTTCTTCCACCCGCAATGTAAGGTAATGTCATTATGCAGGATGAATACCGCCAATACCTGAATCTGGGATCTATGAACCCAAACCCGCAAGCGCACACACTAGCACTTGGCTCCGTTCCTGTGTAATCTAAGCAGTCTTTGTTTTGTGCGTGGTTGAGAGCTATCACATACTTCAGCAACTTTAATTCAATGTATCACACCCCCACCCCGCGCACGCAAACGCACGCGCAAACAGACCTGACGCGTGCATACCGTCGACATTTCAGGAGGAGGCGTCTGGCAGCCATTTTAGAAAGCTGCACACATGTACTGTTATGTTTGCCAAAGAAACCAGGCCTGAGCCAAAAACGCTCTCTCTCTCCTCCTCTTACTCTATCCTGAGTCCTGAGCCAAGCAGAGGGCGGGAGAGCGAGAGCGAGAGAGAGAGAGAGAGAGAGAGAGAGAGAGACAGCAGAGGAGACTAAGAGGCAAAAATATCTCCTAATTATGGGCAGTCCTGGCCGAAATGTTTTGAACGGTACAGCTGCAATCTTGTAAAATATTGTGTGTGTGTGAGTGAGTGACACCCAGCGATTGAGAGTGTGTTTGTGTGTGCTGGTCACTCGCCCACCCTTGTAACCTCGCACTACGGCTGTGACATTAGTGCACATACAGCAAAAAGTTCCTATCTACATCAATCTTTCAGTATCTTTCTCTATCTGTTACTCTATCCACTTTCTCCCTCTCTTCATTAAGGCAATTGTTGATATATCACAGCTCTTTATCAAAGTTTGCTATAACCCAAACAGATATAGTGAGCAGCATGCCAGCTTTAGAGCTCTAGAGAGTGAATGTCAGATAAGACTCGTGCCAGCCGGCATCTTATCTGAAAGCACAACTATAGATGAGCTAATGGTCATTTCATAGTGCAGTTAATGCCACCTCACTTCTGTAAATGTATGTAACCATTTAATTAACAAATCGTCACCTTGGAACTATAAGGTTCTATCTGACATTTTTGTTAAAATTTAGTTATTCTCATATTCTTATTCTGTGTCAACTTATTTAAATGATGTGAGGTTTCTTTTGTAAGCTGTGTACATTTTGGGACTTTTTTTACAAAACAAAAAGGGTTCTATCTACAGAAGTCTATGGAACGCAAAAACTTTGAAGCTCAATATCTCAAAACTGCTCAGAATGCAGACAAAAATATCAACTCTAAGAAATAGTATGCATGCTAAGCGTAATGTGTCTATGCCAAAGTATTTTGTTAAATAATACTACATATATTAGATGCTTTTATGATTTATATAATGCAAAAATCTTAAATGCAAATAAATAAATGTTCTGCATGAATACTACACAACACACACTAGAATACTTAACTAGTATTCTAGTAAACACCTCTTTTTTTCTTGTATAATGACTGCAAACCATACATTTCTTATATTTCTTCTCACATAATAAAAAAAAAGCGAAACTCAATTTGATAACTGCATTGCTGCAATTTTGCTCAAAACTGCATTGCAGCATTTTGTTTTAACAAACTGACTTTTTAAAAATATAAATAGGCATAACATAAATATACTACCCAAATGTGAATAAAGAAATATATATTATACACTACCATTCAAAAGTAGAGGGTTGGTAAGATGTTTAATGTATTATGCTCACCAAGGGTGCAAACATTTGATCAAAAATCAAAGATTAAATTAAAACAGCAATACTGTGAAATGTTATTACAATTCAAAATAACTGTTTGTATTTTGATACATTTTGAAATGAATTTATTCCTGTGATGGCAAAGCTGAATGTTCTGCAGCCATTACTCCAGCCTTTAGTGTCACATGACTCTTTAGTATGCTGATTTGCTCTTAAAGAATCATTTCTTATTATTAGCACAGTAATAAACAAATAAATACCTTACCCCAAACTTT